TTCAAATAAATGATTTTAATGAATCTACTTTAGACGTAACAAAATAATACTAGCTACGTATCTACAACATGATAGCACTCACAGCATATCAGTAGCTATAAGAACGTCATTGATATAAGAGATGAAACATATTGTAAATAATTTCAATACATGTTATTCAAAAGGTATTATTGAATTAGGCCTAGAAACTTACCGGCATTCCAAACCTTTGCGGCATGTGTAGAATTCATCAACTAAGTTGCAGGCTTCTAGTTAAGGAACGCACGATGGTGTGTATCTGATATAAACATTCAAAAAGTAGATTTAACTCCAGGCATGACAATTTAGTATCGAGCGGTTTGAGAATTTTACTGTAATAAAGCAACAAGCAACAGAAACGTATATTAGAAACTATTTTCGATTTTGTTTTATCTTCAGGAATATGTTATCTAATGTTTTCTACAAAATACAAACACAATAGTTTTAGTCTAGTGTCGTATTTTGGCAAATGTTTAGTCGTAATCTGTCGGATTTGAGTAACATTGTAAAAACATTGTAAAATTTTGTAAACTTTTTTTTTTATTTTCACCACATCGACTGTCAAGTACAATAGCAATCTTGAAAATCGTTACAGAAATTCTAAATAAATCGTTAATACATATTTATAGTCCTGTCATAAATTTCATGACATTTCAGTTACAGACACAAACCATTTCATAAAAACGCGTTTAAATAGCGCTCCTCATTCGCCTTCATTTTCTGAGGCCATTGCTGAAAACCAGATGACAGATCGCAGGTTTATTATTAAAAAATGAATACATGTATTGACTTTTTTTATGAAACTGTTATTAATTTAACTCTATATGGGATAAATAGAACATTAGAATATTTTTAACATAAGAGTATGGTAATTGTTCATGATAAAAAAAACTCTTTAAAAACAATTGCCATTGTATCTGCTTGATTAAAACGGAGATTGGCAGCTTAAAACTCATCTAGTGTTGTAGTGAACACAGTTTATATATAACTGGGCACACACGTGTAAAATAAACTGTAAGATAGCTGCTATAAAAGTAAAGCAGAAAATCACGATCATTGATTTCATGTTGAACCTGCAATAAACAATACATTATGAAATAGCTATTTTAAAATGTATTTATGCATGTATGTATCTTATAAATATGTAAAAATACATACTATATATATTTATATGTTTATATGTATATATGTAGGCTATATATATATATATATATATATATATATATATATATATGTAAAAAGCAATGTATTTCTGTGTGTCTGTGTGTGTGTGTGTGTCTTTTATGCATTACTACACCTCTCATCACATCGCCGTCGAACTGTTGAGAATATTCCTCGGGAGGTTTCTGCGGGAAAAAAAATCAAATTTGTAGGGGTGGCGCCCCGGCAGGGCGCAATTTTGTTTTTTCTCTACATACGGTTTATAACAATAAAAGTCTATTTTTGTTTGACATCGTTCATCCGATAGACATGAGACTTTGGGGAGTTCATTATAACACTATAGGGAAGGGTTCTGTAAAAAATAATTTTTAATTTCGCAAGGGCGGCGCTACGGGAGGGTGCGATTTTCTCTATATACAGCATATACAAATAGTAAAAGTGAATTGCAGTGACACCGTTCAACCGATAGGCATGAAACTTTGGGGAGTTCATTATAAAACTCTAGGGAAGGTTCCTGTAAAAAATCATTTTTAATTTCGCATGGGCGGCGCCACGGGATGGTGTAATTTTTCGCCATATGTGGTATATAAAAATAAAAGTCGATTTTGGTTTGACACCATTATCCGATAGCCATGAGACTTTGGGGGAGTTGATTTGGACACTATTGGGAAGGTTTTGTAAAAACAAATCATTTAATGATTTAATGTTGCATAAGTGGTCCCCCGGCAGGATGCGATTTGGCGCCCTGGTCTTTCCCGTGAGCGCTATGGTGACTACGTTGGGTTTAAACAGTGTGATAGACAATGGATAAGATGGGGCGTTACAAGCGCTTACTAAATTGAATCAGGCGTGTCTTCTGGCGCCCTGATTGGGTGCGATTAGGCTGCAAATAAAAATGTTTCGGCCCCAAAGGCTCACATGGGCCGCTGAGGGCTATGTAATACGTTTTATTTTAATAATAAGAAAAATTATCCAAGGTTAGATTATTAACTGGAATGTTCCTTTTTGTCCGTAAAAAAAAAATTCAAACAGTTTCGCCACTTTGCGAATGATGCAACTAGCATCTATTTTTAGATAATCCAATCAGAAATTGAGATCGAGCATCTACGAATAGACTATTAGTAACGCTAACATATTGCATAAGTCACACTGATGTTTAAAACACGTCAGATAATTTTTTAAGTGTTAAATAATAAATCCTGTTCATTTGTGTCACTTTAGTGAATGACGCAATCTGTATCATTGTTAACAGGATGCTATTTGGCGCCTGTTAGTTTTAAGGAGCTTGGGGTCGTACGACGCGCCTATGCGGTAGTGTAATAGGGAGGGGGGTGGGGGTGGGGAACATCTGAGAGCGCCCCTCTACGTCTCATACACATGGGCGGTCACCGAAGTGTGTTCTACCATATTATTTTCGGATAGTTATTAATGTACACTCAAAATTTTCATGCGTTAGTGTAGGTAAACCCGTGTCCCAATATTTATGATCCAAGCGCAGACATTGTTTACATTTAAATAACTCACTTTTAGAAAAGACGGTCACGCGTATAAGAACATATTATTGGTAACGCGTTGGTGAAATCCTTCTAATATATTTCGTCAAACTTTCTTCTATCCCCGCGGCAACGTGCGGGGACGGTACACTATATTGAATTAAATAAGAACAATGTTTTACTGTATTAGTTTTCTAAAATGAATGTAAAAAGGTGTATGCATATATTTTTATATTCCTGACCTCTGTAAAGCTGAACTCGTTTTGTTGCAACAAAGAAACGACTACTTGCACCTGTGTATGCCTGTACACCTTAAAACGGATTTAGCTATGTAGCCGGAATTTATACAGTTTGATCACGTGATCGATATCAGCTAGAGCAGATTAGAGTGTCTAGTAGCTTAATTTGGAACAAGAGAACAGGGATATGTTATTGAGGAATAATATTTTAGGTGATCATTATTTATGTTTATTTCAGATTTTTTTTTTCCTATAGGAGGGGGGGGGGGGTGGAGGAGAATGGATTTGATACTTTTCGTTAAGCAGGGTGGGGGCGGACTAAAATTTCCGACGGGGGGAACAAGGGTAAAAGTATATTTTCTATATAAATTCCAATACGATCTTTTGAGGGAAGCGGGGTGGGCAGTGGCGTAGCGAGGGGGTGGGCGGGGGGGGGGTGCGGATCGCACCGGGTGACACCATATAGGGGGGTGACACCAATGCAAAAAATAGCAAAATATGTAGAGAAAAACTTGAGGACGGGGGGCAAATCGAAAGTTTGAGGGTGGGGGGGGGGGGTGCTAATCGAAAATTTGTCCCCGGAAAAGGTCGCTACGCCTCTGGGCTCTGGGGGGGGGGGGGTGTGACACCATTAAGTGCCGCACCGGGTGACACCCGACCTCTCTACGCCACTAGGGGGGGTGATCATAGACGTCCCCCCCGTCCCCCCTGTCCCTCCCCACCCGTCCCCCCTATACCCCCCCCCCCCGACCTCCCTGTCGCCCGCCCCCCCCCCCCCCCCATCCCCCGAAGAAATGCCTGGAAGAAACTGATCATTATTTGAACATTTATTAAGTCGGAAACACGTGGTTGTATGTAGATTACACTCACAATGGACAGCGCCTCTGCAGTAATACCACTTTAGCAGCTGTTAAATTTATTCAATATTACAAAGAGCTACTTTAATATAACATGTTTGTGTTTGTTATATGATGAACACTGTAAGATCTCATTGTCAACTGTAAAAAGAATAATTGTACCGTAATACTGAAAATAATATGAATAGGATTGTGTAAGAGATTAATCATGATATTTCATGCTTTTGGTTGATATCGCTCACTTACGTTGGGAGAGAACAAGTAATATAAAGTGGTGGTTAACATATATGTCTCGATAGAAGAATGTAAGCAGTTATTACGTCAGTTCATTTGTGGATTAATCCTGTAATATATTGTTATTAGGGCATCCCGTGTTTATTTGGTGCAGTGTTTCTTCCAGACTTTTTTTTCCGGGGGGGGGGGGGGGCACTTGAAATTTTCGGGGGGGGGATAGACTTTCTTCGGGGGGGGGGGGGGACACTGTTAAAAGTATATATTTTCTATATAAATTATATAAATTTTCGCATCCATTTGTCATAATAAATTAATTTTGTATAATAAATTCCAAAATGTTTTTAAAGTTAAAAAAACTGCTTAAGTTTAGTTAAAAAAAATAAACAAACTACAATTAATAAGTGCTCCCGCCTTGTCTCATCTTTCCTCTTTATAAAATTGTATTGGATTAGATTATCTGAATAAATTTTTTAAATTAATAGAAAACCCCTTAATGATGTGGCGTAAAAAATTCTTTGTTAAATGTTGTTGTTTTTTTGGTTCTTTTTGCAGGCAAAACTCAAGATGGGCCAAGTGATAAAATTAAAATAACTTTGTGAAGATAAGCGACGGTTGTTTCCCCTGCTAAAAATTCGCAGCACTTAGCTGCTTCAGGATCGTGAATCTCGTACGACTACGTCACCACGACATTTAGACGTGGTGTAGTGGTGATGCAGATTCCTTTGATGTGCTCTATTGGATAAAATCAATCAATCGATCAACGACAGAGCCTGCAGCCTATTGAGCTTGTTGGCCGCATGATAAGATCGGCCAATTTTTCGGTGTCAATTCCTTTAAAAATGTCGACACACTTTTTTTTTTATTACTATTAGACAGACATTGTCAGCTGTCGCCTACAATAACTGAACTGTGATTAATCAATTATGGCTTTATTTTAATGATTGTGTTATCTATGTGTTATATAATACTATGTTGAGGTGCCTTGTAATTAAAGCCTTCTAATTTGGTTGTCGACCTTTGGTTTGGTCAACTTTTTTTTTGACCACGTCCCGTGGGTACGTTGGTTGGTCCATAAGTCCCATTGGTACAGGTGGGTTGGTCCATAAGTCCCATGGGTACAGGCGGGTTGGACCATAAGTCCCATGGGTACCGGCAGTTTGGACCATAAGTCCCATAGGTACCGACGGGTTGGACCATAAGTCCCATGGGTACAGGCGGGTTGGACCATAAGTCCCATGGGTACCGGCGGGTTGGACCATAAATCCCAGGGGTAGAGGTGGGTTGAAGTCCCATGGGTACCGGCGGGTTGGACCATAAGTCCCATGGGTACAGGTGGGTTGGACCATAAGTCCCATGGGTACCGACGGGTTGGACCATAAGTCCCAGGGGTACAGGCGGCGGGTTGGACCATAAGTCCCATAGGTACCGACGTGTTGGACCATAAGTCCCAGGGGTACAGGCGGCGGGTTGGACCATAAGTCCCATGGGTACCGGCGGGTTGGACCATAAGTCCCATGGGTACAGGCGGCGGGTTGGACCATAAGATCCATGGGTATCGGCGGGTTGGACCATAAGTCCCAGGGGTACCGGCGGGTTGGACCATAAGTCCCATGGGTACCGGCGGGTTGGACCATAAGTCCCATGGGTACAGGCGGCGGGTTGGACCATAAGTCCCATGGGTATCGGCGGGTTGGACCATAAATCCCAGGGGTAGAGGTGGGTTGCAGTCCCATGGGTACCGGCGGGTTGGACCATAAGTCCCATGGGTACAGGCGGCGGGTTGGACCATAAGTCCCATAGGTACAGGTGGGTTGGACCATAAGTCCCATGGGTACAGGTGGGTTGGACCATAAGTCCCATGGGTACAGGTGGGTTGGACCATAAGTCCCATGGGTACCGACGGGTTGGACCATAAGTCCCAGGGGTACAGGCGGGTTGAAGTCCCATGGGTACCGGCGGGTTGGACCATAAGTCCCATGGGTAGAGGTGGGTTGGACCATAAGTCCCATGGGTACCGACGGGTTGGACCATAAGTCCCAGGGGTACAGGCGGCGGGTTGGACCATAAGTCCCATGGGTACCGAAGGGTTGGACCATAAGTCCTAGGGGTTCAGGCGGCGGGTTGGACCACATGTTCCATGGGTACCGGCGGGTTGGATCATAAGTCCCAGGGGTACAGGCGGGTTGGACCATAAGTCCCATGGGTATCGGCGGGTTGGACCATAAGTCTCAGGGGTACAGGTGGGTTGGACCATAAGTCCCATGGGTACCGACGGGTTGAACCATAAGTCCCAGGGGTACAGGTGGGTTGGACCATAAGTCCCATGGGTACAGGAGGCGGGTTGGACCATAAGTCCCATGGGTATCGGCGGGTTGGACCATAAGTCCCAGGGGTACAGGCGGGTTGGACCATAAGCCCCATGAGTATCGGCGGTTTGGACCATAAGTCCCAGGGGTACAGGCGGGTTGGACCATAAGTCCCATGGGTACCGACGGGTTGAACCATAAGTCCCAGGGGTACAGGTGGAATGGACCATAAGATCCATGGGTATCGGCGGGTTGGACCATAAGTCCCAGGGGTACAGGCGGGTTGGACCATAAGATCCATGGGTACAGGCGGGTTGGACCATAAGTCCCAGGGGTACAGGCGGGTTGGACCATAAGATCCATGGGTATCGGCGGGTTGGACCATAAGTCCCAGGGGTACAGGCGGGTTGGACCATAAGATCCATGGGTATCGGCGGGTTGGACCATAAGTCCCAGGGGTACAGGCGGGTTGGACCATAAGATCCATGGGTATCGGCGGGTTGGACCATAAGTCCCATGGGTACAGACGGGTTGGACCATTAAATAAAAAGTTCATAAAATGCACACATAAATCCAAACTCACAGAATTTTCAGCGGGACAACTCCTAGGCGTCTTAAATTATGAATATATTTCTTGGTTGCCTCCCTTGTGTTTACATTGTATCACTAGGAGGAAGTGAGCATGCTGGTGTCAAGTTGTGTTGAGTGCTTCAACCAGGACCGGATACACGAGTACTCAACCAGGACCGGATACACGAGTACTCAACCAGGACCGGATACACGAGTACTCAACCAGGGCCGGATACACGAGTACTCAACCAGGACCGGATACACGAGTACTCAACCAGGACCGGATACACGAGTACTCAACCAGGGCCGGATACACGAGTACTCAACCAGGACCGGATACACGAGTACTCAACCAGGACCGGATACACGAGTACTCAACCGGTTTTCCGGCTCGACAAGTATTCATTGTTGCCTCTACAAATGACTTTGTTTAAACTATGAGTGTATGTGTAATGATAGAGAAAAAGGTTTGATTAAATTTTCCGGATTCGTTTCCCATGATTTGTTTATCCCGATTTCTAGATCCTGAAACTTTTGATCCCACCTCTCCCCCACACAGCCTATCATGTGTGGGTGGGTTCCCAAATAGACTATTCTATGTTTAGCTACTGATGGCTAATGTGTTGCCTAAATACTGATGGCTAATGTGTTGCCTAGCTACTGATGGCTAATGTGGCCTAAATACTGATGGCTAATGTGTTGCCTAAATACTGATGGCTAATGTGTTGCCTAGCTACTGATGGCTAATGTGGCCTAAATACTGATGGCTAATGTGTTGCCTAAATACTGATGGCTAATGTGTTGCCTAAATACTGATGGCTAATGTGTTGCCTAAATACTGATGGCTAATGTGTTGCCTAAATACTGATGGCTAATGTGTTGCCTAGCTACTGATGGCTAATGTGTTGCCTAAATACTGATGGCTGATGTGTTGCCTAAATACTGATGGCTAATGTGTTGCCTAAATACTGATGGCTAATGTGTTGCCTAAATACTGATAGCTGATGTGTTGCCTAAATACTGATGGCTAATGTGTTGCCTAAATACTGATGGCTAATGTGTTGCCTAAATACTGATGGCTAATGTGTTGCCTAAATACTGATGGCTAATGTGTTGCCTAAATACTGATGGCTAATGTGTTGCCTAAATACTGATGGCTAATGTGTTGCCTAAATACTGATGGCTAATGTGTTGCCTAAATACTGATGGCTGATGTGTTGCCTAAATACTGATGGCTAATGTGTTGCCTAAATACTGATGGCTGATGTGTTGCCTAAATACTGATGGCTGATGTGTTGCCTAAATACTGATGGCTAATGTGTTGCCTAAATACTGATGGCTAATGTGTTGCCTAAATACTGATGGCTAATGTGTTGCCTAAATACTGATGGCTAATGTGTTGCCTAGCTACTGATGGCTAATGTGTTGCCTAAATACTGATGGCTGATGTGTTGCCTAAATACTGATGGCTAATGTGTTGCCTAAATACTGATGGCTAATGTGTTGCCTAAATACTGATAGCTGATGTGTTGCCTAAATACTGATGGCTAATGTGTTGCCTAAATACTGATGGCTGATGTGTTGCCTAAATACTGATGGCTAATGTGTTGCCTAAATACTGATGGCTAATGTGTTGCCTAGCTACTGATGGCTAATGTGTTGCCTAGCTACTGATGGCTAATGTGTTGCCTAGCTACTGAAGGCTAATGTGTTGCCTAGCTACTGGGTTTTATCAGAAGTGTTGCCGCCAGAGTTGGATCCACATCAAAGAACGACACCCGATCCTGAGGTTAATTAATTACTCAATTAACCGAACGTTTGTTCCAGCTATGTCCATTGGCTGCAGGACCTCACGTGACCTCTACCACACGGGATGCTGGGATAGGCAGGGGAGGGAACTGGTCCTAGCCTGGCAGGTCTGAATGTTGGGAAGAGTTACCTCCACCTGATGGTCAATCCCTAGCCTGTCCTTTGATTGCTTTATTTGAAACTTATTACTCCATGTTCATTCCAGTTTATTTTGGTTTAAGGGTGTGAAGTGAAAGTAACCGAGCCGGATTAGTCATAATCTAAATAGTCAGGTTGACCTAGATATAAACCTAACTAACCAGGTTTACATTGATATATTTTATAAACCTAACTAACCAGGTTTACACTGATATATTTTATAAACCTTACTAACCAGGTTTACAGTGATATATTTTATAAACCTATCTAACCAGGTTTACACGGATATATTTTATAAACCTAACTAACCAGGTTTACACTGATATATTTTATTAACCTAACTAACCAGGTTTACAATGATATAGGCCTATTTTATAAACATAACTAACCAGGTTTACACTGATATATTTTATTAACCTAACTAACCAGGTTTACAATGATATAGGCCTATTTTATAAACCTAACTAACCAGGTTTACACTGATATATTTTATTAACCTAACTAACCAGGTTTACAGTGATATATTTTAGAAACCTAACTAACCAGTTTTACACTGATATATTTTATTAACCTAACTAACCAGGTTTACAGTGATATATTTTATTAACCTAACTAACCAGGTTTACAGTGATATATTTTATAAACCTAACTAACCAGGTTTACACTGATATATTTTATTAACCTAACTAACCAGGTTTACAATGACATATTTTATAAACCTAACTAACCAGGTTTACAGTGATACATTTTATAAACCTAACTAACCAGGTTTACACTGATATATTTTATTAATCTAACTAACCAGGTTTACAATGATATATTTTATAAACCTTACTAACCAGGTTTACACTGATATATTTTATAAACCTAACTAACCAGTTTTACACTGATAAATTTTATTAACCTAACTAACCAGGTTTACAGTGATACATTTTATAAACCTATCTAACCAGGTTTACACTGATATATTCTATAAACCTAACTAACCAGGTTTACAGTGATATATTTTATAAACCTAACTAACCAGGTTTACAATGATATATTTTATAAACCTAACTAACCAGGTTTACAGTGATATATTTTATAAACCTAACTAACCAGGTTTACAATGACATATTTTATAAACCTAACTAACCAGGTTTACAGTGATACATTTTATAAACCTAATTAACCAGGTTTACACTGATATATTTTATTAACCTAACTAATCAGGTTTACACTGATATATTTTATAAACCTAACTAACCAGGTTTACAATGATATATTTTATAAACCTAACTAATCAGGTTTACACTGATATATTTTATAAACCTAACTATGTAGGTGAATCCACAGTTCGCCTTTTTTTTCTGCCGTTATCGCGTGACCATCCGGGACAATTAAGCTCGTAATTAAAGTCCTGGAAGATTAAACACTTAATGAATCACGTGGTACACAGACGGCCACCTCGACAGTTGAAACACTGGATGGTCTTGTTGGTTGCTGTAGTGACGTATGTGTCGTAATAGATGGATGACATAACAGAATGACATTAGGATGTATGACATCGCACAATGACATTTGGATGGATGACATTACACAATGACTTTTGTATAACACATGTCTCACCACTAAACCACATGTCTCACCACTAGAAACAGCATGTCTCACCACTAGACACAGCATGTCTCACCACTAGACACAGCATGTCTCACCACTAGACACAGCATGTCTCACCACTAGACCACATGTCTCACCACTAAACCACATGTCTCACCACTAGAAACAGCATGTCTCACCACTAGAAACAGCATGTCTCACCACTAGACACAGCATGTCTCACCACTAGACACAGCATGTCTCACCACTAGACACAACATGTCTCACCACTAGACCACATGTCTCACCACTAAACCACATGTCTCACCACTAGAAACAGCATGTCTCACCACTAGACACAACATGTCTCACCACTAGACACATCATGTCTCACCACCAGTCCACGACTTACCACTACAACAGCATGTCTCACCACCACTACAACAGCATGTCTCACCACCACTACAACAGCATGTCTCACCACCACTACAACATCATGTCTCATCACCACTACAACATCATGTCTCACCACCACTACAACATCATGTCTCATCACCACTACAACATCATGTCTCACCACCACTACAACATCATGTCTCATCACCACTACAACAGCATGTCTCATCACCACTACAACATCATGTCTCACCACCACTACAACATCATGTCTCATCACCACTACAACAGCATGTCTCATCACCACTACAACAGCATGTCTCACCACCACTACAACATCATGTCTCACCACCACTACAACAGCATGTCTCACCACCACTACAACAGCATGTCTCATCACCACT